CCCCCCGTCTTTTGGGCCCCCCCCCGTCCCGGGCCCCCCCCCCCCCCTTTCACGGCCACCCTTCCTGTAGGTGGGAGGGGTGGGTATGGCGCCCCGCCCCCCACCGCCGCAGGACCCCCTTACGGAGCTCCTGCGGGCGGCCCCCCGCCCCGCGAGCGCGTCGTGGCCGCGCCGCAGGGTCCGCCCGGCCTGTTCGCGCCCGAGGACTGGGCCTGCACCGCCTGCGGCAACGTGAACTGGGCGCGGCGGCGCGAGTGCAACCAGTGCAATGCGCCCAAGCCCGGCGCGGTGGACCTGACGCGCGAGGGCGCCGGCGGCGGCTTCAAGGAGCTGGACAGCGCCGAGGTGGAGGAGGCGCGGCGCCGCCGCCGCGAGCACGAGGCACGCGAGGAGTACGACGAGTTTGGGCGGCCGCGCAAGCCCAGCGCGGCCGAGGACCGCGCGGCGCGCGAGCGCGCCGCGCTGGAGCGCCTGGCGGGGAAGTACGGCGCGCGCGAGCGCAGCCGCAGCCCGCGCCGCGAGCGGAGCCGCAGCCCCCGGCGTGAGCGCTACTGAGCGCCATGTGGAGTGCCGGTGGCGTGGGAGGTGGTGTGGATGCATCAGGTGGGGTGCGGGCGCGTCCATTGGCGCTGTGGCTCAGGAGAGCCTCGGACAGACGGAGGCAGAACTCCAGGCCATGCTGGACTGCATGGAGTGATCTGGAGTATTTTTGGACCCCTCGAAACCCTCTTTGCATGCTGCCTCGTCTGCCTGCCGTTTCATTGTGCGGCAAGCCAGGGTGTCGCCACACATGAGCGAGCAAGCAGGATTCCCCGGAGGAATGCGCAACAGCAAGGGCGTCGTGCAGGCACCAGTCCTTCACACACACACACACCGTTCCGCCTCCTCAGAACCCGCTGGTGCGGCCATGGGGCGCCGCAGCAAAGGGCCCCTCTACGATCTCCAGCTCCGGTACGGAGCCCAGCAGCATTCCCGCGTACACCGCAGCGCCGGCGGCCACTGCGTGGGCCGGGGGCATGCCCACCGACGGCCGCACGCCGGTGAGCAGGGCGAGGAAAGCGTGCACGCCCAGCATCTCCGTGGCCTGGCCCACGCACAGCACGCGCGTGACGCGGCGGGGCGGTGGTAGGCCCCACGCCGCGTGCGTGGCCTGCGGGGGGGGTCCCGGCGATGGCGGCGCGGCTCCGGAGCGGCCCAGGGCCTGCGCTGGGTCCTCGCCGCCGCCCTCGCCCAGGCTCGCGACGGCCCGCTCTGCGGCGACCCGAGGCTCCATGGCCCATCCGATGCCGTGCTGGGTGCCAAACTCTTCCAGCAGGGCGGCCAGGGCGGCGAAGAAAGGGGGGAGCACGGCCTGCAGGTCGGACAGCATGCAGGCGGCGGCTACTTGGCCCGACTCCGCGGCCACGGGGCCGCCAGGGCCGGCGCTCAGCGTGATCTTGGCGCGCTCGGCCGCCGACTGCGCGGCCGGGTCTCCGCGGCCTGCCTCTGGGAAGAGCCGCGCCGCCAGCGCGGCGTCCACGTCGTTGCCCCCCAGCGCCGCGTCGCCGATGGTCCCCAGCAGCTCCAGCGCGCCGGCAAAGGCCTGCACCAGGCTGATGCATGACGGGGATCGGGGAGGTAAGGGCTGCGGGAGAGGGTGACAGGCCTGGGCGAGCACGCCCCCACACTCGCGTCAGCTCCTCCCGAGGCACCGACCCAGAGGGGAGGAGGGAAGAATCAGCCCCCCCGCCTGCTCCACAGACCCTCGTCCCGCCCCGACAGCGCCGCCCGGCTCGTCTCCACTTTGTCCCCCGCCTCCCTGCCCATGAGACACACACCAACAAACACCTGACGTCAGTGGTCCCGCCGCCGATGTCCACCACCAGCGCCAGCTCGCCGTCCAACCCGGCGCCCAGGCCGTGGGCCAGCGCGGCCGCCACCGGCTCCTGCAGCAGGCGCAGCGCGTCCGGCAGGCCCGCAGCGCGCGCGGCGCGCAGCACGGCGGCGTGCCTGCTCGGGCCCCAGTCTGCCGGCACGGTGAGCACTGCGTGGTCCATGGCGTGCCCCACCCGCGCCTCGACCCCGCGCACCAAGCCCGACAAGAGCGCGGCGGTGAGGTCCACGGGCGCCACCGCGGCGCCCAGGCCGCGGCAGCGCCACTCCGCCTCGCCGCCGCGGCCGGGGGAGAGGCGGCAGCCCGCGGGGCCGAGCCCCGCACCCACCCCCAGCGCGTCGGCCTCCTCGTGCCTGTGCAGGCATGTGAGCCGTCGGCATGCTTGCATGGATGACGGCAGGGTAGGGCGCTCAAACCGTGCGACTCATGCCGACTCGGCGCACCTCTGGCCCAGGATGCGCTTGAAAGAGCGGAATACCAGGACGTCTGGGTCCGAATCAGGGCCTGTGCACCCCAGCTCCAGCTTACCAGACTGTGGTGGTGGGTGTTGGAGGGGCTGGAGCCATACTGGGGAAAGACTGAGGTCAATAAGCAAAGCCTGTCTCCTCCCCAGACCGCCCACCTTGCTGCAGGTAACAACGGATGGCACGAGCAGGGAACCATGTATCGGGAGCAGTTCTGGCTTCCCATCAGCGCCTATGATGGCCACACTGGAGGTGGTGGTGCCCAGATCGATGCCCAGGGCGCAGGCCTGGCTGCTTGAACTGCTGCATGTCGCATGCCGGCTCCACCGCCGGCATGGAACCCGGTGTGGCGCCCAGGACCGCACGGGAATCGCATCCTTGGCATCATAAAGTCGCAATGGAAATGGAAAAACTGATCGGATGCTAGTGATCGCGTGCATGGAGTCCGGTGTGTGTGCGGGGATGCTGCGAGCACCCGTTCACTGGGGTAAGGTGCCGAGCTCCGGCATTTCCAGAATGGAAATCGAGGTCAGAGGATGAAGTTATTGGAAGGTCCCAATCAGTTCAGTGTTTTGCATATGCAAATGGGGCAAGGAATGCGTGCCATTGTTGTTATTCGATTGAGGCTGCATCGCCCATGCCCCCCCGTGGATCCGCCCATGCTCGCGATCTGCAATCGCTAGCCAATGCAACTCAAACATTTTTAAACTTTGCGCGACAGGTTTCCTATCCCAGACTTGACTTTGGATTCGCAAGACACTGGAGGGGAGCATCCTTTCGAGCAGACTGTTTCAGCATGTAACAATAAAAGGGCAAGCATGAGAGGCTGCTGAGTGGTTGTGAGTCTGCGCCAGGGCCACAAGGTGTCCCAGCTCAGGCACAACGCCCGATTCAAACAGCTGTGTGAGAGGGCTCGTGATAGGAGCCCAGGAAGGACGCTGCTGACAAGGTGCGAGGAAGGCGTGCACGGCCGGGGAAAGATAATCGCGTATCAAGTAAAACAAGCTCACGAAGTTGGGCGGCGCTTCCGTGCAAGGTGGCCATCTCCTGGGCATGATGGTGGCACGCGGACGGTGGCTGACAACCCCTCCACGTTCCACGCTGCCAGATGCATGGGCTGAAGCGACGCCGCTGTCCAGGCTGCCAGGTTGCCTTTGACGCAGAAGGCATACCGCTGGTGGGGATCAGACTGCCTGCGCCACCCACACCGAACGAAGGGCTATGCATCTGGCGCAACTCATGGGTCCTCGCAGGCTGCGCGTACTCCCCGCCTCGTGCGGCGGTCACCAGGGCCTGCATGCACGGGCCAGGTCTTCAAGATCCCGGCAGTGCCGCAGCAGCGATGCCAGGGCGCTTGCCTGTGCTCCTGGCTCCTGGGTCAAAGACCGTGCGCGCAGCGGCCCAGACGCCATGCTATGCTCCCGCACCCCCGTCCACCATGGCGGAGGGTATCCTGGAACGCACGTTGAGCTCCTCCCCCACCAGTCCCGTGGACGTGCCAAAGGGCACGTTGGACATGCTGGCAAAGGGGCTGGCCTCAGAGCCGGAGGAGGCCGCGGCGTGCTTGGCGCGCAGGGCCTTGACCTGCAGCCCGACGGTGGACAGGGGCCCCGCGGGGGGCTGGCCCCGCCCCTCCCCCGCCCGGCAGGAGGAGGAGGAGGCGTCGCTCTCGGCGTCGCTCCAGGACACCCCACCGTCGTCGGACAGCGCGGCGGGGAGGGAGGTGAGGGCCGCCGCCTCGCCGCGCAGCTCCGCCAGGACCGTGGTGAAGGAGGGGCGCTGCTCCGGGGTCTCGGCCCAGCAGGCCTCGATCAGGGCGCGGAGGACGGGGGGGCAGGCGGGGGGGAGGGGCAGGCGCTGGCCCATCACGCCCACGCAGTAGATGATCTGCATGGGGGAGGGCACGTGGCTCCACGGCACGTCCCCCGTCAGCATCTCCCACAGCAGCACGCCAAAGGCAAAGACGTCGACCTGGGTGGGTTTGAGGGTGGGGAGGTGTCGGATGAGGGGTCAATCTCTTCCTGGGAGACCGATAATTCAAGGAACAGGTTGGGTGGGGTGACATTGGGACATGCGTGGCATTCCAGGAAGACAGAGCTGGGGCACATGGTCTCGAGGCAGTTGCTGGGCTGGCCACGTCCACCCCCAGAACACCCAGGCGGAGGCCTGCATTTGCCCGGGCCAGGAGGACCCTTGCTCACAGACTGCCCCCCCTCCCAAAAAACTTCCATGCCACCCCCTCCGTCCACCTTCTCGGTGATGCCTGCACCATCAAACATCTCAGGGGCCATATAGGCCGGGGTGCCGGCCTGCCCGTTGGCCGTGCTCACAAAGGTCCGGTCCTTGAACTTGGCGATGCCAAAGTCGCAGACCAGGGCTCGGCCCTCGGCGTCCAGCAGCACATTCTGCAAGAAAGAAGGGTGTCGGGAGGTGGGGAGGTGGGGAGGGTGCCTGGACATGGTGGCACCTGGGTGAGGCCAGATGACGCTGGCAACTCACCCCATCTGAGTGGGACCGCGTGCCACATAGTATCCCAGTCCTGTCCCTCCCCAGCCTCCTAGCCCCGCCAACGTACCTGCGACTTGAGGTCCCGGTGCACCACCTTGGGGTGCAGGTAGACCATGGCATCCGCGATGCCGGCCGCGATGCCCAGCAGCTCGTGGTAGGGGAGCGGCCGCCGCTTCCTGGCCCCCGGCTTGCCGTGCAGGCGGGCGTGCAGGCTGCCCCCCGTCGCCAGCTCCTCGATGATGCAGATGTTGGGGGGCACGGTGCACGCGGCCAGGAAGGACACAATGTGGGGGTGCTTGAGCGTGGACAGGACCTCCACCTCGCGCCTGCGCGTGGTGTGGCAGCAAAGTGGTTGGAGGGTACTTTCATGGGCGATACGTGCGCGAGTCCAGCAGAGTTGAGGCAACCGTCGGCGAGCGAGTCAGCGCCCGACGAGGCGAGTTTGTGTGTTGAGGCTGGGTGGGAGTGACGCCAGGCAGCCGGCATCACACCCTGCACAACCCTCCAAACTGCTTACTTGAAGCTATCTAGTTCGCGACTGCTGTGAGTCCGGCACGTCATCTGCAGTACCTTCACGGCGACGGGGTGCCCATTCCACTCGGCTACATGGGGATTGAGGGTGTGGGAGGACATGAGTTGACTGGGTGGAACCAAGCCCGTGAGTTTCTGGGCACTGGCCTGCATTGTACTTTGCAAGGGCTGGCTGGGCTGGCTTGCAGTTTGCGCTTGTGAGTTTTCACCCTGACAGTCGCACATCCCTGCGGGTGTCCCTCGAAAGTCGCACCTCCAGATCCCTCTGATGCACCCTGGCAAAGCACTTCGATGCGCAGTCCAGGGACTCCATACTCCACACCATTTCTTGACAGAAACATTCCATTTCCCCCCCACACACACAAAAACCAACACAACTCACCCCGGTAGACGACGCCAAAGGCGCCCGAGCCCAGCTGGTCATGCAGGGTGACCTGCGTGGCCAGGTCGGCAGACTTGAGGCGCCCCAGCTCCGCCACCGCTGCGCCGGCGTCGCTGGGTCCCCTCTCCAGGGCGCTGGGCACGCTGCCCGACCCGCCGCTGGGCTGCAGGTTGGGCAGGGTCAGCGTGGCGCCGCTGTTCACCGACAGCGCCTGGCTCAGCGTCCCGTGGCTGGTCAGCGGCATGGCTGACCCGGGCGAGTCCTGCCAGCCGGACCCCTCGCCCTGCCAGGGCAGAGAGTCGTGGGTGCGGGCGAGGGGTCCACGGTCGGGGGCGGTGTCCTTGCGCGCAGTGCCCGCCGCGGCGGCCTCGGCCGCCGCCAGCCGCTGCGCCCGCCGCCGCGCGAAGAAGAGCCAGCTGCCGCCGACCAGCGCGGACAGGCCCAGGACCACGCCCACCACCAGGCCCACCACCATGCCGAGGCTGACGCCGCCCTTGGCGGGGGCCGGTGCGGCGGTGGGCGGGGCCGGCGCAGCCTCTGGAGGGGCAGGGGGGCCATTGGCTGCATAGACGGTGTCTGGAGCGGGGGGTTGGTGCCAGGGCAGGAATGAGGGGGTGGGAGGTGGCCGTGGAGTGGGGGCATGGGGAATGCACCCTTAATGAGGCGCAGGCCGATGCGCTCTAATTCCCGGATGGCATCCAGGGTCAGGGTCACCATGCATGGATTGTGCATGAGCCTGCCCTGTGCACGGTTCCCTGTCACTTTGGTCACTATGTAATCTTTCCCCATAAACCATTCAGTGCAGACGACGCCTCCCCTCCCTGTCCCCTCCCCCAGTCCAAGCAGCACCTGTGTCTCCGGTCGACTCGATGGGCGCGGTGGGCGTGCCGGCGATGGGCGGCGCCGCAGGCACCGCGCCACCATTCTCGGTGGCAGGCGGCAGTGCGGCGGGCGTGGACAGCACATAGCCGCAGCAGTACACCGCGCGGCAGCCGCCCTGGGCCACAGTGCCGCCGGAGGAACCGTCGTCGTCCTGACTGCATCCCAGGGTCAAGCCGGGGTCGGGTAACACCCGGCTGCAGTCCAAGCCGTTTAGGTTGACGGAATTCACCAGCAGGGAGTCGTCGGGGTAGAGACCGGATGGTACAAACTGGCCGACGGTGAGGAAGGCGTAGGCTCCGCCACCTGGGCCGGGGGAGGGCAGGCAATGGGTTGGCTCCCTTCCAGGACAAGGAGTGAGAATGCAAGGGAGGGGAAGTGATGCAGTGCGAGGGAGTTCCATGATGTACATGGCAGCTTTTGTGTGATGCCCAAGGCTGTTTGTCCAGGAATGAGCAAACACGGACCACCTTGGCATGCCAGCCCCGGCTGCGACACTATGTTTGTTAGTACTGACCCCAAAGCCCACCTGGAGCGATGCCGTCGGTGGTAAAGGTATCTACCAGGCGCACGGGCGCCCCGCCGGGGGAGCCTGCCGTCAGGGCAATCGCCCCATCGGTGGTGCTGAGCAGGACATGGCTGAAGGTGTCATATGTCCACACCAGCTGCCAGTGGCTCATGGACACCTCCCGGTTGTTGGTGATGGATACCACGGCCGAGAAGTTGCTGGGTGGGTTGAGCTCCACTACATTGTAGAAGATGTCGGCCTCGCAGGTGGGCAGGGTTGAGGCCGAGGCCAGGAGGCGACGAGGATTCGGCCCCGTTCCCCGCTCCTCCAGGTAATCGTCCTCCCAGTCGGCGTTCAGACCTGCACCAGATGGATGTAATGTGACATGGGTGAGCTTAACGTTCCCCTCAAGCATCTTAATGAGCCAGGGGTACCCCCGCGTCAGTGGCCCGGCGCGGGTGCCCCCCGTACGGAGGTGGTTCAGGGGTGGTTGGGGACCCCTCACCTGTCTCCTGGCTGCTGCTCGCGACTATACAGACCGTAAGCAGAGCTGCGAAGAGCAGCGAGCGCCATGACATTCCGTTAACTGCGCGAATCCGTGGGCAGCGCGGCCATGAATCCGCTACCCCTTGATGCGCAGCGGAGGATCCTCCCGTCACCACTGCTCAGTGCATTGCAGGCAGGCGTCGCGGTATACTGCACATGTAAGCAGGGGAGTGCGGTGAGCTGGTTACGGTAGGACTCTGACCTTGCCGCGATGGGTATGGTCTCCGAGAAGGCCGTGGGCACATGGTGCGACTCGCCGGGAGGACACATGGTCACGTGGGGCCCAACTCCATTCTTTCTCCTTGCTCCACGCAATGCCCAGCCCGATCTCAGGTCCAGGGATCATGCATTGCGGGGTCGCATGGCCGTGCATGGGGTGATGCCACAACTGGGCGCATAGAAAATACTCCAATTACCAGATATGTCGGCCTTGTCTCGGCAGATCGTGGGCTGCCCTGCCGCCCAGGCCTCCTCACAGCTCTCGGGCCTCATATGCCCCCGTGCGAGGTTCCCCAAGCCCTTCCAGGGCTCCAACACCGGCCTTCAGACCAGGCGGACGGGACGAAGCCATGTGCGTCAACCTCTGCGCATGCCCCTGGCCATGTGGAAGGGCCTGGGTCTGAGTTTCACCACCGATCCGGCTGAGAAAGTTCGAAAGAAGTATCAGGGGTCCCTGGACGCCATGAATGCCCTGGAGTCTGGCCTGAAGTCCCTCACTGACGAGCAGCTCAGGACCAAGACGGAGGAGTTCAAGAAGCGCCTGGGGCGCGGCGAGACGGTGGACGACCTGCTTGTGGAAGCCTTTGCGGTGAGGACTGGGGGTATGGCGGTGCCGCAAGTCATGTGCGGGTGGTGGTGTTCCCAATTTCCTGTCAGCTGAACTATGCTCAGCGTGTGCTGATTGTGCCGATGTGTGTGCGCTGTCTCGACCCTCACATTACCTTTCGTGGAGGTGGTGACCACTCTTCCCTCCCCACATCCCCCCTTGTTCCCGGCCCTTCCACCCAGGTGGCGAGGGAGGCGTCGAGCCGTGTGCTGGGCCTGCGCCCCTTTGACGTCCAGCTGCTGGGCGGCATCCTGCTGCACAAGGGCGAGATCGCCGAGATGCGGACCGGGGAGGGGAAGACCCTCGTGGCGGTCCTGCCCGCCTACCTCAACGCCCTAGCCGGTGGGATACGGGGTTTGTATATGCCAGAGGAGGAGATGTATGGGGAGGCAGGTATCTTGGGGGTCAAAATCATGGCTGATGCCATGAAGTTGTGCATGGTGTGTGACATTCAATCACCTGAATCCCCCCCCCGCCCCCCCCCCTCACTCACCAGGCAAGGGTGTGCACGTAGTGACGGTGAATGACTACTTGGCCCGCCGTGACTCCGAGTGGGTGGGCCAGGTCCACAAGTTCCTGGGCCTGGAGGTCGGCCTGGTCCAGGAGGGGCTGGATGTGAGTCTGAGGCGATGGCAGGAGTGGTGGGGTGTGCGGATTGGTGGGTCATGGGGAGCAGTGGGTTCCTGGCAGCCCTGGTGTGGTGTCGCGGTCCAATCTTTGACGCCGAGAGTCGCAGGACTGTGCTGCAGCGCTGAGGTGTCTGGTCGAGCTGAAAGGGGTGCCCCACAGACCTCCCTGGCAAGGTGCAAGGCTGGTGTCCAGCCCAGCTGACATTCACCCACCCTCCTCGATCCCCCTTCCTCACGGCCCCGCAGGAGGCCCAGCGCCGCGCCGCCTACCTGGCGGACGTCACCTACGTCACCAACTCTGAGCTGGGCTTCGACTACCTGCGTGACAACCTGGCGCAGGAGGCCGAATCCCTGGTCCTCCGTGACTTCTCCTTCTGCATCATCGATGAGGTAGACTCCATCCTGATCGACGAGGCGCGCACGCCGCTCATCATCTCCGGCCCCGCGGACCCTCCTGGGGACAAGTACTCCAAGGCCTGCCGCCTGGCCGCTGCACTGGTCAAGGGCGTGCACTACACCGTGGACGAGAAGCAGCGCTCTGTCCTCCTGACCGAGGACGGGTATGAGGCAGCGGAGGACGTGCTCCAGGTGGGAGGATTGGAAGGAGGTGTCAGGAGGGGGGAGGGAGTGATCGCGGGCTGGAGAGACCCAGGTTTCAGAAGGGGAGCGGTTTCCTGGCGAGTTGACAGTGGCGCTGTATACCAGCCTGGACCCAAATTTCTGCCTGCTCTGGTGCATACCGGCTGGCATCCAGCCCCACACCAGACGCCCAGCGACTCTTTGGTTCCCGGCGGCCTGACCCTCCACTGCCTCAAGTTTATCCTCAACAAGGACTTCCCAAGCCCCTGAAACATGCATACACCCCACCCCCCCCTTCCCCCCCCGCTCAGGTGACAGACCTCTACGACCCGCGGGAGCAGTGGGCCTCCTACATTATTAACGCCATCAAGGCAAAGGAACTCTTCTTGCGCGACGTCTCCTACATCGTGCGCGGCGGCGAGATCGTGATCGTGGACGAGTTCACGGGGCGCACTATGCCAGGCCGGCGCTGGTCCGACGGCCTGCACCAGGCAGTGGAGGCCAAGGAGGGGGTGGAGATCCAGAAGGAGAGCGTCACCCTGGCCTCCATTTCTTACCAGGCAAGGGCAGGGAACATGAGGGGGCGGGTAGGAGGAGTGTGTGAAGTGGGTTGTTTGTGTGTTTGGCTGGGAAAGGGGCCGAGGGCTGACGGTGTGTTTTTTTGGAGGTGGAGGGGCGTGCAGGGGAGCAGAATTCCCTCGAGCAAGTGCCTCCTTGGCTTCAGGACAGTGCCTTGCACCTGCCTCGCATGACCCTGGCCTGACAACAGACATTTTCTCAAACACACACCCCAACCCCCCCAATGCCTGCCGCGCAGAATTTCTTCCGGTCGTACCCGAAGCTGGCGGGCATGACGGGGACGGCCGCCACGGAGGGTTCCGAGTTCGAGTCCATCTACAAGCTGCCCGTGGCCGTGGTGCCGCCCAACCGCTCCGTGGCGCGCACCGACTACTCCGACGTCGTCTTCCGCCAGGAGAGCGGCAAGTGGCGGGCGGTGACGCAGGAGGTCCAGCGCATGCACAAGAAGGGGCGGCCCGTGCTGGTGGGCACCACCTCGGTGGAGAAGAGCGAGCACCTGGCGAGTCTGCTGGGCGAACAAGGCATCCCCTACCGCGTGCTGAACGCCAAGCCGGAAAACGTGGAGCGCGAGGCCGAGATCGTGGCGCAGTCGGGGCGCAGGGGGGCGGTGACCATCGCCACCAACATGGCAGGGCGTGGCACTGACATCCTGCTGGGAGGCAACGCAGGCATGTGCCGAGGGCTTGGGTTTGTAGTTCTCAGGGGTAGGGAAGATGTAGGGGTGGCATATACATCGCCTGGCGAGCGCTGCTGCTGTCGGCGGGAGCACCGCTGGTGTGTATGCAACTGGGCCGGGGCAAACGGATCTCAACAGTTTGGCCCCCTGTTTTTGCCTTCCTGCACCATCAACCTCGTGTCGCCACCCTGCATGCAGAGTTCATGGCGCGACTGAAGCTGAGGGAGGTCCTGATGCCCCAGGTCGTGAGCCAGGTCGACCTTGCAGGCACGGCACCCAGCGCCCGCAGCAAAGCAAAGGTGAGGAGTTACCCGTGCTGTTCCCAGAGTCCTGCCTCTTGTCCCCCGGGAGTTGGGTCATCTGTGTCTTGCTGTGTGGCATGCTGGTGACTTTGGAGAGGGTGCATGCTTGACTCCAGGTCATCTGGACCCTTGCAGACCAGTGTCATCGGGCGCAAGCCACTGACGCTCTCCCTTCTCGAATCTGCCTCAACCTTCCAGGTGAAGAGCTGGGCGGTGTCGCCCGAGCTCTACCCCACCAAACTGAAGCCAGAGACCCTGGCGCTCATCGAAAAGGCTGTGGAGTCTGCTGTGGCAGCCTGGGGATCCCGCCAGGTCAGCAGGCCGGGTCGCAAATCCAGGGTGGTGTCTGAGCGCCAGGTGGCGCCTTTCTGATTGTGTGTGGCCGGTGGGAAGCAGGTGCGCCATTGTGGTCCTTTCTTCCTTATTCGCAGCTTGAAGCGCTGGACGCAGAGGACAGGCTGGCGTATGCCTGCGAGAAGGCACCCACCAATGACCCTGTCCTGAATGAGGTGTGGTGCGGAGTCCTAGTGCAGGAGCAGTGCAGGTGGTGGCTTGCCTGGCAGTCCGCCCGCCCATTCCCACCCCAGACGCATGCGCTGCGCCATCCCTACCCACACCCAACCCCTGCCGTGCGTTCCGATTTGCAGCTGCGGGCTGCCTTCCTGGCAACAGAGGCGGAGTTCAAGGCGGTGACGGAGCTGGAGAAGCAGGAAGTGGTGGCCCTTGGGGGCCTGCATGTTGTGGGAACTGAGCGCCATGAATCCAGGAGGATCGACAACCAGGTGAGCCCCTGAGGGCCTCGTCTGCCGGGAATCTGGGCAATACATAGGTTGCCATTATCCCGGAGCCCACTGTTGCCACCGCCTCATCACCCCCCCCCCCCCCCCCTCGGGAGGCCGCGGGGGCGCGGCGGGGGGGGGGGGG